GGGGGGACTGGAATGTGGAGGGGAGGGTCTGGGATCCCGTTCCTAAGAAGCGGGGCTTACTCAGTGGAGAGCCGTGAAGACAGGAGAGACGCCGTTGGGTATTGTTAAGCCCATTTGACAAGCTCTGATGTAAAAGTAAGAAACCAAATCAGACAGCTTTAAAGAGCTTTTAGCTGTTCATCAGCATTCATTTTAAAAGCCCCACATCAATTACTAAAAATATATGTAAAATGATAGGAGAAGCAGCAGAGGAACCAGACTCCCATTTTCTGGAGCACAGATGTGCTATGGGCCATCTATTCTCAGAATGTCTCCACCCAACGAGGGCCCTGCTTGACTATTTTAAAAATCATTTCTAGTGGTGAAGGCCTGGGGTGGGGGGGAGGCAGGCTAGAAGGGGGGGGAGGGAGGGAACATCTGTAATACTTTCAACAATAAAGATTTAATTTTTAAAATCATTTCTATATTAAAACTTTCCATTTTATCTAAGTATCCCATTTGGTTGTCTGAAAACCCTCTTAAAAAGGAACTTTCTTTTAATCCTCACCTGAGGATATTTTTCCCATTGATTTTTAGAGAGTGAAAGGGAGGGAGGAGGAGGAGGGGAGGGAGAAACATCGTTGTGAGACCCGTCAACTGCACGGGCCCGACTGTGGGTGAGGTGCGAACCCACAACCAAGGTATGTGCCCTTGACCAGGAATCAAACCTGAGACCCTTTGACCCAAGCAGGCCAGTGCTCTAACCACTGAGCAACCCTCTGGGGCAAAAAGTAATTTTTTTAATCTTCGCCTGAGGACTTGCTTAGAGAGAGGAAGGGAGAGAGAGAGAGAGAGAGAGAGAGAGAGAGAGAGAGAGTGTGAGATAGAAACATCGATCAGTTGCCTTCCGTATGTGCCCCGACCAGGAATTGAACCGGCAACCTCTTGGTGCACAGGGAGGCACTCAACCAACTGAGCCACTCCATCCCGGCAAAAAAAAAAAATATATATTTTAAAATTGATAACAGTTTGAGCAAATGGCATATCAGTTGAAAAGAGAAATTCTCAGCGGTCCTGGAGACCTCCAAGCGTTTTTCCTGGTTGGAACGAAGTTGTCCCAGTCCTTTTCTTAATGCTGTTTATCGGCGAATTGGTGACACCCTGTGCCTGTTGTAATTTTGAAGAACTTTGTAATTACAGCTTTAAATTGCTCCTCAAACAACTCCATGCACGTGTTTAAGAAGCCGAGGAAGGCTTCACTGTTGCAGAGAAGGGCAGCCAGGCCACAGCTTGACACACGCTCCGAGGCATGTGTGTATCTCGTCCACTGCAGAGTATTCTGTTGGGCTTTGGGGGGTGGAATCGTGACTTCCTCCGTGACGTGTGGACATGTCAGCGGTGCGTGCGGGGAATTAAAGCAGTAAATCTTTCTCTGCCTGCTCCCGGCAGGCCAGCACAGAGTGGAAAATTAAAGCATTTATTCTTTTTGGCTCCGAGTGCCGATACCATGCTGCACGTCTTCACATACAAGCCCAGCGAACCCCGCAGTCCCTGTCGGTCCGCTTCATCACTCAGAACGTCGAGGCTCAGAGAGGGTCAGACTGAGCCGAGGAGAAACTCCAGCACCTCCTTGGTGTTTGCTTGTTTGACCTTTTCCTCTCACCTTAAATTCTTACGGGTACCTGGCCATCGACGCCTCCTTCCAGGGGTTTTTCTGTCTCCCTGCCATTGACCTGCTTATCGTCAGCCGTGTATTTCTGCTCAGAAATAACTGGTCCGAGCGCACCATCGGTTCCCCACGTCCATTCACTGGCCTGTGTCTACAACACGTGTCTCTGCCTCGGCTGGAATCCTTTTCTCTCTGTCTCTATTCTGGCCACGGATTCACTGAGTGACTCTGCAGCATTTCGGGGCTTGTAGCTTTTACATACCAGATGGTCAGAGCCGTTCTCATGGGGAGAAGAGGATTTGTTTTTCTGTTTCTGAAAGAACATTCTTTACATTTAAACGTGAAAATAAACCCCCTGCTTACGCTGGTGTCCCTGTCCATCTGATGGTTGCTCCTTTGAAAGGTACTGTCTTCCCCTAGCTGTTTTGGCTCAATGGATAGAGCATGGGCCTGCGGACTGAAGGGTCCTGGGTTCAATTCTGGTCAAGGGAACATCCCTCGGTTGCAGGCTTGATCTCCAGCCCTGGTCAGGCACATGCGGGAGGCAACCAATTGATGTGTTTCTCTCACATCAATGTTTCTCTCTGTCTTGCCCTCTCCTCTCCCTTCCACTCTTTCTAAAAATCAGTGGAAAAATATCCTCGGGTGAGGGGAAGGGAGGGAGGGAGGGAGGAAGGAAGGAAGGAAGGAAGGGAGGGAGGGAGGGAGGGAGGGAGGGAGGGAGGGAGGAAGGAAGGAAGGAAGGAAGGAAGGAAGGAAGGAAGGAAGGAAGGAAGGCAGGCTAATGTCTTTTCCCTCTGGCTGATTCTCTCTTGGCCAGATCTTTAGCATCTTGCCTGTGATGTGCTTCGGTGTGGTTTTCTTTGCATTTTTCCTGCCTGGGATTCCGTTCCTTTTGGTAGATTCCTGTGTTCTGTCCAGGTCCACCCACTGGGAGGTGGTTTGGAGAATGCCCTCAGGAAACCCCACAGCAACTATGGAGCTCAAGTCATGTTTTTCTTTTCTCTCAAGAATTGTAGATCCTGCCTGTGCCACGCACGCTCATGCTTTCAGATGGCGATCCGTGTGTTTCGTCGCCCACCTTGTATCGTTGTTTTCATTGTGGCCAAACTCAGAACTCTCCAGAGCGGATGGCCTCCTGACAGCCTTGGGCACTTGCACTCTGATGCGTGACCCAGATGAATGATTTAATACTGGTTTTCTCTGCTCACAGGTGCCCCTACTGGCTTCCTGCTCCAGCCAGTTTAGAAAGACCAGCTAAGCAGATATTTCATGTGTTTTAACGTCTGCGCATTTGTGACTTCTCCCCATATTCTTTTCTAATACTTCCTATGACACAATCAAGGTTTCCCAGAGCAGCATCCAGGTAGAAATAGCAGTTGGTTAAAGCATCGTCCAATATGCCAAGGTTGTGGGTTTGATCCCCGGTCAGGGTACATACAAGAATCAACCAATGAATGCATAAGTAACTGGAACAACAAATCGATTTTTCTCTCTCTCTCTCTCTCCCCCCCTCTCCTTCTCCTGCCCTTCCTCTCTCTCTCTAAAATAAATAAAAATTTTAGAAAAAAGAAATAGCCCATTCAAACTGGCACACCGTCCCTGCATGCCATAACTGTTAGTTAACAAACAGTTGGATATTTTTTGCAATTCTCGATTACAGGCTGTGATTCAAAAACTATTTCATCAGTTCATGGTGCCATTTAGTTACCATGTCTGTCCATGTCATCAGATGGACTCGACTTCCTCCTCTTCCCAGTTCTCTGCCAGTTCATTCAGCTGATAGATGAACTCCCTGCTGTGCTCAGGACAGCCCTGCACGAGCTAAGGTTGTGCCGAGACTAATCAACGAGACCCCCGTACCCACAGGCGCCTACACAAGCCATTCTAAGTCAAGGCAAAATCTGTCACGTTAAAGGCACAAAGAGGCACAGAGTTATTAATCCTGCTCTGATTTGAAGCTCCACGTTCTGTAATTTTCTCATTTCTTTTCATTAAGTTAACAGGGTTTTTAGAATACAGTGAGTGAGAACAGAATTTTCTTTCTTAGTTAAAAAGAAAACAATGAAGAATTTTTCAACAAAATATATTTCACTGCCCCAGCTCCTTGATACAGAAGGGTTATTGTTTTTTTGCTTATTTCTCTTTGATCTTTTCCATTTAAACATAAATTGTATATAATTATAATGTATAATTTTATAATCTGAGTTTTTCACTGCCATACATAATGCGCTATTTGTTTTTGCTTTTTTTTTTTTTTTTTTTTTTTTTTACTGCAGCACAGCTTTCATCATCATACTATTTGATGCCTCTACTCATTGGTTTACCAATACTGAACACGTTAGTTTTTGTTGTAGATGGATATTTTTCCTTTTTTCAGTATGAGAAAAAAATGCCACATGGATCATCTTTGATTCAGAAATCCTACTCCTAGAATATTAGTATGAGTAAAGAATTCAGAGAGAAAAGCAAGTGCTCAGACAACGCGAATATTTTAGTGATTTCTGATACAAGCTGTGGCTCAAAAGCTAACAATTTTTGGTGCCACCAGTGGTTTTACAACAGCACTGATAGCAGGTGCTGTGACTAAAACGTAACGGCTTATTTAGCAGCTCTACACGATACTTTAAATTTGCTTTGATTTTTATGTGGGCTTTTCCTGGCTATTAGTGAAGTTGAACCATTTTCCCTCTTTGTTCTTGGTATTTAGAGGATCGTTTGCATCCCTGGACTTCGGCTTTTAATGCACTATCATCTCTGATGCCGTGTTTCCCAGGGGTGTTTCCCAGGGGTGTGCGTCGTGAGGGTTCCTGAGATACCGTATGCGAGTGTAACCTGAGCAGGGGCTGACCCATAAAAGTGCCAATAAGTTATACCTGTCAGACCTTTTCCTTCTCAGCCTCGGGGACATGAGAAAGTGTGCTTGTTTGTTTTGTTACTGAGCATACAAAAAACAAATTTTCTTTTCAGGGAATTTGATTTAACTTCAGTGGTTTCAAAGGAACTAAGAACCACTGAAAGAAAAATGAAACGCCGAAGTTTAATTATTGTATATGGTTTTAATTACTAAATCAAGTCTCTGTGTACAAGTCTTTAGATATGATAAGAAAAAAATTTTTTGAAGTTAATTGTTTCAGTTTCATAAAATAATCTTCAACTCCTATATGCCTTCAAATATAATACAAAAGCGTTTTTGCTAATATTGATAAATTTGGTTCTTTTTCGTCTTTCAAACTTAGAAAAATTAATGTTGAAGATAACTGATAAGATTGGTTGGATATTTTCGTTGAAGGCACTTTTCTTCCTGACCTAGAATTTAAAAGTATGTGTTGTTTCTCTTATTTGTCTTCAGGTTAAAAAGGCCTTCTTTGCCTTAGTAGCCAATGGTGTTCGAGCAGCGCCACTGTGGGAAAGTAAGAAACAAAGTTTTGTAGGTAAGCAGTGTGCCCCCCTCACCCCCCAGGAAAATCTGCAACAAAGCAGAAAGCCCAAGGCATTTAATGGGTGCTGATTGGAATTCACTCTAGTAAACATGTTACCAAATTAAAGAACATTCTTGCTTTTACATCCCGGTAAGGGAGGGCCGCTGGTAATTCAAAATCATTTCCCTGCTTTGATTGAATTTCCTTTGATTCAGCACCTTGTCGTCTCTGGAGGATCTTATGTGCCGGTCCCTGTGAGCCCAGGGACCAGAGTGTGACGGGGAGGCTGTGGTCGGGCGTCTGTCTGTCTGTCAGCCGCCTGTGCTCACGGTTACTCACCCGTGGCCCCTCCAGGGTGAACACCTTTTGACAGGGCAAAGGAAGCATAAAAGTGGCCAATGCCTTCGCTGAATCATTGCTATACTATTAAAACATTGTGTGACTTACGCCATCTAAACTGCAAAATTCCACATCCTGGGAGCCATGGCAGACCGGGGGTGTCCCCGGCCAGGGCTGTGCGCTGCTCAGCGCTGCTGTGAAATGGTCAGTTTCCTCTTGCAGTCCTGGCGCCTGGCACAGGGTCGTGCCCCCAGAAGTGCCATGTTTCCAGAGCTGCTGGAATGCTTGATCTTACTTTAAAGTATTTAAAATTATTTACATGTAGCTGCAAGTCTTTTGTGATGTTCTGTAACAGTCATTCATTTCTCTCTCCTTGACTTGCCAAGTACTGTGATTAATTCCAGTTACTGTCGGGTTCGATTTCAGCTAAATTTGTGTATCTTAGTTTGCTGTAGATAATTAACAGATTAATAGCTTTAAATAATATATTAAACTGTGCTTGAGACGTGTACTTTAGAAGCTGTTCTAGTAACTATTCCAGGGTTTGCCTGTCATTTGCAAATTTTTTGTGTTTTAATCGTTTCCTATTTAACATACAATTCTTTGTTCCAGGAATGCTAACAATTACAGATTTCATAAATATACTACATAGATATTATAAATCACCCATGGTAAGTACCAGAATCCTCGTCTGATCAGAGCTGTGTTCTGTGTATGTGTATAGGGGTTGGTTGTGTATGCATTTAAGATTTGGGGGGGCGGGGGGCAGAGAGGTGGTACAGGGGTGGTGCTGGTGGTTGATTTTTCCAAATATATATGATGTGCAGGAACCTCTGTGTAAATCAGTCATATGTTTAAGCCTGAAGAAGGTCACCTCAGGAAAATGAAAGGCTGTAGCGTCTTTATTCAGCTTCCAGGAGTTACCGGAAGTGGACTTCCATGCGCTGATTATTGCCTAGATGTTCTGTAGGTTTCACTAAATGTATGACCTGGAACAGCATATGGGCACGTTGTCATAGAGACGCAGCCTGGACCCTGACTGAAGGCGGCCCCGGCGCCACTCCTGTCCGGATGGCTGTCACCAGTGACAACCTCAGTCTCTGAGATGAGAACACCACGGGGCTCGCTTTCATGGCCTGTTGATGGGAGTGCAGCTTCATGTACTTACCCCAAAATTCTGTAACAAGAACGATATGTGTTCTGTGGTTTAAGAAGTAAAAGTTAAAATGGAAGAAATTTAACTGACATTTTCCTGCCAGTTAAAAAAAGACTGCTGGGGTTCCTTTCTGTGGCACAACACCCTGGCCCCTGGCCCCTGGCCCCGCTGTTCTGTAAGACAAGAGTGAGAACCCCACGTATGGCCTTTAACACTCTGACTACGTGATTCTACCAGCTTGTTTGTTTTTTGTTGTATTGGGGGAGGGGTTGTGTGTTTTTATTGTTGTTTTTTCTTTGTTTTGTAATTGAATGTATTGGGGTGACAGGTTAATAGAATTATATAGGTTTCAGGTGTACAGTTCTATAATACACCATCTGTATGTTGTATTATGTGTTCTCCACCCCACATCCAGTCTGCTTCCATCACCATCCCCCCCCCTTTGCTCTCTTCTACCACCCCTTACCCCCTGTTCCTCTGGTAACCCCCACATTGTCGGCTGTCTATGAGGTTTTGTCTGTTTGTTTTGGTTCATCCCTTCACCTTTTTCACCCAGCCTCCCAACCCCTCTCCCCTCTGACACCTATCAGTCTGTTCTCTGTATCTGTGAGTCTGTTTCTATTTTGTTTGTTAGTTTATTGTGTCTGTAGATTCCACATATAAGTGAAATCATATGGTAGAGGTTGTTTTTGTTTTTGTTTGCACAGGTGGGAAAGGACAGAATTATATACTTTGTTTCTTTAACTAGTACTATTTTGGGTATCTAAAAGGTAAAAGACAATCCAATTAATACTGTTTTTACATGTAATAGTCAATATTGTTCACTAACTAAATTCCTTCATAAAACAGGAAAATAAGTTTCTTCATAAAACATAACTCTTAGAAGGAAAATTTGCCAAAGACTTTGTAGTTATTTCATATTTATTTCACATGATAGATCTGATTTCTTACATACCATCAATGCAGGCAAATATTGATTTTTTTTTTATAATGGTCATCTCTCTGCTTGTGGACTAGCAAAATCACAGAGTATGATTAATAAGTGGATAGATTTTTATTAAGTGCAGCTAATACTTGAGGATACATTTTTTTCTTCACATTTCACCTCATTTTCTTAATTCATACAGAAAAATGCTATTGTGAAAGCTATGGTTTATTTCATTTTCCAAGTATTCATCATTCATATATAAAAACAATTGATTTTTATATATTGACCTTTTATCCTATAAGATTCACTAGTTCTAGGAGCCTTTTTGTACATTTGTCAGGATTTTTTCTATGCACATAATAATGTCTGCAAATACCATCAGTTGTACCCTATTGAAAAGCCTTTCTTTTTGTCATAAAATTGTTTTACTGCCTTAAGTATGGATCTGTTGCTATACTCCATTCTGCTCCATTGTTCTACTTGTCTATCTCTTGTACCATAGTCTCTTGGTGACTTAAATAAAAAGCCTGATGGCCCTGGCCAGTGTGACAAAGTGTTGCAGGTTCGATTCCCGTCAGGGCATGTACAGGAGGCAACTGGTCAATGTTTTTTCTCTCACATCAGTGTTTCTCTTTCTCTCTCTCTCTCTCTCTCTCTCTCTCTCTGCCCCCACCCCCCCTTCTTCTCTCTCTAGAATCAGTAAAAAACATATCCCTTAGGTGAGGATTAAAACACACACACACACACACACACACACACACACACACAAACAAAAAAACCCAGCCTGCTGGTATTGAAAGTCTGTAGATCAATTTAAGGAGAATTGGCATCTTAACAATATTGAGTCTTGCAGTCTGTGAACATGGCATTTTTCTTGCTTTATTTCATTGGCTAGCACTTCCAGTAGAGCATTGAAGTCATGAGAGCAGGCCTCATTCCTGTTTCTCATCTTAGAGGGAAAGCATTCTGTATTTCACTGTGAAGTATGATGTTGGCTATAGTTTCTTCATAGATGGCTGTTACCATGTTGAGGATATTACTTTTCCAGGTTTAATGACAGTTTTTATCATGAATGGATGTTGAATTGTGTCACATGCTTCCTCTGTATCTACTGAAATTATGTTCTTTTTCTCCATTCTCTTAGATACTGTTTCTTCAAATATTTTCCTGTCCCCTCCTTCCTTTGGGGATTACAGTTAGTCAGCTGAGACTGTTGTTGTGTAGGGGTTTTTCAAGTGTGTTGTTTTTTCTTTTTAAGTTAGAGATGCTAAGGATCTTCTGTTGTCTCAGAAAGAAGGAACGAGTGTATATGTCCATGTGTGCTTTAAAATTAAAGCATATCAGAACTTTTCAAATTAACCCTTTGAGTGCCAACCAATATCCTAGGAACTATGCTAAAATTGCCAAGGCATTTTTGCTGATTTTACAGCAGTTTAGGGGAAAAAAATATGAATCGCAAGTAAATGAAGTTACATATTCAAAAACTTAAGGAAACCTTTACTACAAAATCTGAGTAAACTTCATAAAATCGTAGCACCTGTAAAAAATTAGGCAGATAAATGCCAGTGGTCAATTTTAGAACTACAAACATTCGGCATCATAAGTAATCTGCACTTAGGTGCCATCTGTCAATAAAGAGTGAACTACTAAGTCTGCTTACCTGAATGTGTTCTGCAGAAATTTAGAGAAAGCTGGCAATAGTAAAGCCATGTTACGAGCCTTAAAGACATTGAAGTCGTTAAGGTCCCTGAAAATGGCTATAAGAAGAAAAACAAAAAAAAAAAAAGAGTGAACTACTAGCATCTAATAGTGACACTGCAGGAGGAGCGCGGTAGCGCTCCCGGCACTTCTGGCAAAAGACAGGAGGAGCGCGATCGTGCTCCCAGCACTCTAGGGGTTAATGGAAATATATTAGGCTTGTTTATTGTGTTTTAAATTGACAGAACATTTATCTTCAGAGAAATGTAGAGCATTTTCTTTCTCATTTGTATTTCCAGCATTGAATCATCTTGTTTGCATCTGCTGAATTATAGGATTCAGCAACAGTGATGAAATGTTTCTTACATTACATTAACTTTTGTAAATAAGAATTTTTTCTTATTTTCAGGTACAGATTTATGAGTTAGAGGAACATAAGATTGAAACATGGAGGGGTAAGTACTGTGGGGTATTTAAAATATTTTACTATCAGAAAAAAATGTTCTACTTCGTATATGTTTTAATTTCATAGATCCTTCTCTCTCTGCTTAATGATAAAATAAATTGCATTAATTAAAACATTTGTTTATATCTTAGTTTTGATAGTATGCCATCCTACTGTGTATATTACCCATCTGTTTAATAGAAATGTATAGAGAACCTGTAGCAGGTCTTTATACTAAACCCAGGATTGTGAAGATGAGTAAGCTAACCAGCACCCACATCTCTGCCCCCAATGGAGCCACCATTTCAGTACGAAGTATTACCCCCCAAAAAAAATTTGCCTTTGTATGGAAAATGCACCAAAGGAATGCCTAAGATTAACAAGAGCAAGGATCTGTTCTTATTTAAAGTTAATAATTATTTCTTTACCAATTATGGAGAAACATAGAACAAGTGAACCTTGAACTAGATGATTGGGATCAGATAACATGAAAATAATGTCACAATTGCTTCATTTTGTTTGTAACATTGAAATTCACCCTTTATAATCACAGTACCCTTTCTGAAATGGGGCCATTTCAAGTTGCACAATTGTGAAACTGTTCTGTGTCAGTGGATTGGAGGGGGCGGGGGGCGGCAGGGACGGTCAGCAGGAATACCATAGATAAAGGACTGGTGGGAGTCACTGAGGAGGGGGCCTTTGGGGGGGTGGGGGCGGGTGAACTAGAGAGAAATGGAGGGACCAGTTGAAAGAAATTTTGAATTTAAAATTGAAATTTCGATTGG